GTTAAAGACCATTAATCATAGGAATACATTTTTATAACAGCCAAAGAGATTCATTCCAGTGCAAAAAATATGTTTAGTCATAAAAACCTTAAAATATTTATTAAAAAGAACAATCCAAAAAATCTAAGTTTAAAATGTCTTGTATATGTAAAATGATTATGAGTCATACAAATAAAAAACTATTCATAATCATGTCTGGAGATAGTTGGATTTGCATTAATTAGAAGTCTCTCCAGGCAGATCTGTTATCAACTGACGGTCTGTCTAAAAATGGGGATATAAACTTATCCCTATAAACTTGATGGAACAGGCACTGAAAGAACATATGAACCATTGATTCCACTTCTACGATAGAGCAAGGGCAACATCTGTCTTCGTATGGAATATTCCTATATTTCCCATCTAGAACCCTTGAGGGAAGAACTGCACAATGAGCCAAAGTAAAACCTCTTCTATAAGATGCCCCATCCAAATAAGTAAGATATTTGGCCATATTCATAACACATGTGGACACGCTAGGGGCAGGAAAAAATGAGCTTTTATTAAACCTCGCTGTCGCTCTATATCATGAACTTTTTGTTTGATGGTGCTTTTCACCTGGGCACTGCTCTACGCCAAAAGATCCTCAGGTGAGAGTCCCATCTATCTATATATCTAATAGCCAAGTCGCCCCCTGGTGTGCGGATACTTATTTCCACACATCGGGGGCACCTGGGGGGGAGAGGGATTTTTGTGCACACTTGGGACGGTCCCCAGGTGTACACAAAAATCTTAAAACCTGGGGAAAAAATCGGGGGGGATTGTCGAGGCCCGGCGGCTGTAAGCCGCGCGGGCCTCACTTCAGAGGGGGGGGGGAGAGAGAGAGAGACTGGGGAGGGGGGGGAGAGGGGGAACGGCAAGCCGGGGGTGATAGTTGGGGGGGTGCAGGAGACGGGGGAACCAACGGGAGGGGGGGAAGCTTACCTGCTTCTTCCACCTCCGCTTGCTCTGTGTGGAGCTCCCCCGCTTCTCCCCCCACGATTTTCGTGGGTCCCCTTTCTTGTTCTCTCTAAATTGATCGTAACCATTCACATCCACCTTGGGCGATGAGAATCTTGAAGGCCTTTTTGATTTGTATAGATCTTAAGCCACTGGTATGCAGAAGATAACAGTATTCTAGCTTCTATTCTCATTTGACCCATTTCAAGACATAGGAGGGCATTTGGCACACTGGGGGGTAACTAAAATATTACAGAGAAATTAAGACTGAACCTTCTCGAGCGCACATAAGTTGACATCAGAAATGCCCATATAAATGCCATAAAGGAGCTGTTTTTGCTTCGATACTTCAATCAGGACATGATCCATCCAAGCATTCCAAAATCCACAGATATAATTAGTATCTTCAGAGTTTTAAACACTCTATGGTTGGGGTAAATCAGTTCCCCCCAACCTGCTTCTACTTTTTTGGCAGAATGCATAGGTAAGTGGATGTACAAATGTGTCCCTTTGGAACACTGTTCCCTGTGCAGTAGTAAATAATGTTCCCAAAGTACCACTAGATACCATTTACAGTTTACTTTCTATAAATAAAAAAGGGACTCAGGATAGAAAACCACCCCAGAAATCTACTACTTCCCCACCCCCTCACTTGGATAGATTTAAAACCCCATATTGCAGTAATAGGGGTAGAAAAATGCTGAGGGAAATGACCTTATGGGTGTAATGCCATGCCTTTCAAAACAGCCACACCCCCCCCCCCCCGAACCGTGTCTGGGAGATTTTGGAGATCAGTTGTAATTCTGGGAGAACTCCAGGCCCCCCTGGAGGTTGGCAACCCTAATTCTGTCTCACAGCAAAGAGTATTTTCAAGCACTGAATGTTTTAGCACTATGAAACACAATGCTATCCGGTACTACAAACATTTCTGGTTTTGAAGGAATTTTCCTACCCAAAGATACACTGGTATTTGGCTTGGGGTAGAAATATACCCCAAATGTAGTAAGTGTACATTTTTTTCAGTGCTCTTTTAGAGGGCTAAGCATTTAAAAATTGTTATAATTGTGACTGAAGGGAACCTACCCAAAGGATTCTGTTCACTGAACCCATACAGGGGTTCTAGAGTAGATTATTTTGGCAAGGATTCAAAAGCTAAGGATCTCCCCAAATATGATCATAGCAATCCAGCATCTGCTTGTGGTGTTCCTCGTCCCACATGATTTTTAATGCACTTAAATGAGGCCAGGTCTGCATGTACATTCATTTTGCTCACTCCAACAACAAACAGGAAGGTTATTCAGTTTTCTGTGTTTATTGGAATATACAGTAGATGAATCCATACTGGACTACACATTCCAAGAATGATGTTATGTACACATATGTACCAAGACAGTAAGGTAGACAGTTGCGATGCTGGGAGTTTCATTGTTATGCAACAATAGCCATGCAATGCAGAACCCTGTTCCAGATCAGGGTTACGGTACTGGGTATGGAGGGGTTTAGCCCTTCCCTTTGTGTGATTTTTAAAATTAGGAATGACCCCGTTTCAGCCTTGAAGTGAAGGGGAGCACCCTCTCGTCATCTTTTTTTTTGTCCCTTTCAGAGCTAACAACAATAATTTTGACTGGCAGAACCATGAAAGGGGAAGTCCCTCTGCACTGCAGCCTCAGTCCAAATTGTGGCCTTGTGTGGTTGCTATGCATGAAGTGGCACTTCAGCATCTGATGCAGTGGCCATAGCTCACCAAACCATAGGATTCAATATCTTTTTTAGTCTTTAAGGTGCCACAAGACTCTGCTAAGTTTTTGCCCTTTATGGGATCACTTACATTTTGGCTGCAAGGAAAAATATTATGGGCTAGTTGTTGGTATGATTGTGTGCTGGGCATGAAAATCAGTTGGGTTTAAGAACTGGGGACTGCCCAGTCTACTTTTTTGAAATCAAAGTATTGTTTGTAAACAGATTATTCAGTTCCTGATGCTGAGGAAAGTGACTTGCAGCTTCAGGGTTCTCATTAGAAATGTCTTAGCTGCCGCCTATAAGACACATATTTTATTTTCTCGAAACTGAAACTGTATTGTTGGAAGACGTTACTCCTATACAGGTTCAGAGCAAAAGACTTCTAATAAAGATATGTGGTGAATCAGTGATAGACTTAGCCTGGGGAGGAGCCCAGAAAATCAACCCCTTACTTAGCCATGTGAGTCATTGATGGTTCTTGACAGGTCACTTATCTCTGCTGAATTTACCTCATGATATGCCCCAGCCCTACCCGGGTTCCAGAACATAGGGGACTTTTGTTGACTGTAAGCCTCTATGTTGATTTGACAGAGCCACAACCTAATTTCCTGAGCTTCACTGAAGAAACTTAAACTTTCTGTCAGCCCCCAGAATTTCCCTGTCTTATTTCTTTCCTGCCTTCTGTTACAAAACCAGAAGAATAATTTATACCTTAGCCCAGACTGATCACAATCCTCTTATCAAGTTTCCTTAGAACAGCTCCTTACACAAGCTTGATCTAACTTTGTGAACAGAATATCTCTGCAATGGAGCTCAAAGGCACCCCCACTGTTACTGTTTTGCTGCTGCACTGCTAACTCTTCCCCATCCAGTTGAGGGTTTGTGTGTGTGTGTGTATATGTGGTGAATCCTATCTATGCGGTGAAAAAATGGCTACATAATGTAAACAGACAGTGACAGTCATGGCCTTTTGTATGTAGCAATGATATTGGGTGGGGGAGCCAAGGGGCAGTGGCAGCAATGGTGGCACCAGAAATTAGTCCGCCCCCCACAAAGTAGCTTGACATACAGCCCACAACACTTTAAAAAAAAAATAAAACTAGCCCTGTTCAGAGATTTTTTTTTTAGTGAAATAGGTCACAGAAGTTGTAATTAACATGGGGAAAGGGGAACAGAAACTTCCTCCGTGAAAACCAATCATCACCTACAGTGGCAAGGATTCTACAGGAAACATTCCTTTTTAAAATGACCTTTAAAACTTGGGCTAATGACAATGTCCCTGTAAAAAAAAAATGCAAACAAGCTAGACAGCTGTTTACAGCAGTAGCTCATAATAACATTTACTGAGCCTGCAGTAATCAGAGTGATAGAGCTACTATGTTCTCACAGTGTTTGTAGTTTTACTTCTTCAAAAAAAGTACTCCATCTTTAATATATTACGTTTCGGATTTAAGTGGAAAATAGTATCAGCATTTTCCTTTAAGCTAGACATATTTTCTGACCCTAAGCCTCAAATATAAACAGAATGTCTCAAAGAAATCAGTTATCCGTTACCTGACAGGAGATGGCCATGATGTAACTAGGGAGTGATTTTTATTGGGTGAGCAATGTTAAAAATGGATGAGTAGTGGAGAGTAGTGGATGAGTTCTTAAGTGAGCTGTGACATGTACTGAGTGCCTTTCTGACTCTGATGAGAGCCTCCAAGGAAGTGGCTGCAGCCCCATATTCGGCAGATAAATCCTCCCACCCACCCCCACATTTTGCAGAATCTTCCCCACATGTGTATTAGACAGGACCTGGTTGAGCAGGACACCTCAGCTAAACACTTTACATCTATCAGAATGTCATGTGCTCACAAGACTCCACAGCTTAGAGGGAGCATTGGGTGAGACAGCAGAGTGCTTTCAGCAACTATTTGTCACAGGGTCTCCTTGAAGTGGATTCTGAATTCTCTTTAATGCTGATCCCACCTAAATGGGGAGGGGGGGAGCTTTGAGCAGAAACTGAAATATAGCTGAGCTTTACATACAAACTCCCTTGAAAGATGGAATCATGGAGCGGATTTGGACATTTGGATCCCCCGCTTCCCCAAATCCACTGTTCCTTTTCTGCTGTTAGCCGAGCTATGTGCCCCCCCCCCCCCCCCGCCCATGGGGGGGGGATATAAAGCCACACCAAACACACACATGGATTTACAAAATAGAAAGAGGAAATTAGTAATAGGGTCATTTATACTGGCATTAGCAAATGAAAAGATACCCTGCCTTGAGATCTAGGGGTTTAATCACATTTAGTTTAACAAAGTCCGTAACTATCTATCCTCCTTTGTTTTGCAAAGGAAGGTAAAGCCAGCTAACAAAACAGACTTTTTCTGTCCCTCAAACCATGGTCATCACTTTCAGAGAGGCAGGCTGGAATCTCCTAATCTTCTTCTTGAGGGCCTTTGAAGCTTTAATGCGACACAGTTTGGGCATCGGTGGAAGAGGCTTGGAGGAGGTCTGAACAGCAGCTGATTGCCTAACAGAAGGGTTGGGCCAGACCAGTTCATGCTCCTCACCTTCCTCATCATAGTCAAGGGTCAGGCTGCTACTGTTGCTGCTGCCTTCTGAATCACTTTCACTGGACTCACTGTCTCCAAAGCGGTTGGTTGTATAGTCGCTGACCTCTCCTTCACTTGTCTCAGCTATGGTGGAGTGGAAGAGTGAAGCACATTCTGCAGAGTATTCAGAATGGTCAGATTCACTTTTGGCATAAGTTCCAGGGCGAAAGGGGTAGTGGTGCTTTGAGCGAGGCCTCATGCTTACAGCACGCATGATCCCAGCTCTCTTTGCCTGGTGCCTGGGTGGAATCAAGGCAAAGCCGCTAGAAAGACTGGCAACTTGGGTCTTTGCTGAGATTTCCACTGTGGACTGCCATTTGCGCTGCTTTTTCTTGGCAACTGTGTCTATATAAGCTGCTTCAAAAGAATACATGGCATTAGCAGATGCCTGGTATAATTCAGGCCCGGTGGGTACTTGAGGGACTCTAAATGGCACAGGATATAAACTGGATTCTGAGCATGACCTTCCAGTAGCTTCCCCAGCAAAAGTTGGCCTCCTAACAAGGTTCTTTGCTCTGTGCTGTCTCTGAGGAAGATTCCACTCAATAGGGAGCCTGGTAGCAGCATGGTTAGCACCCCTTGGCTTTTCTGCATAAAAAGCCTGCTGCTTCCCAGGCCTCAACACCTTCTCGCTGTTTCTCCTCTTTACCTTCACAGATTTCATTTTAGAGTTAGCAAACCTCACCCTGACTTGATGGGATTCTGCAGGGACAAACCTAGCATGAACAAATTCCCGCTGAGGCAATAGTTCATGACCTTCTACCTTCAGTGTGCTGAGGCTGACAGATTTCTTGTGAGATTTCTTGACTGGGGCCACATTAGTATTGGGGGGGCTCAGGCTAGACTCATCAGTTGCTAGCTGCGAGCTAGAAGAGCTGTGCTCCAAGCTGCTTTCTCCTGCCTCTGTCAGAGGAGAGTCTCTTACAGACAAGCTGGCAGGAAAACAGCTATTCACAGCTGATGATGACTCTGCATGAAGCATGGTGTCTGTCCGCTCTATATTCACACAGTGTACAGTCTCCTGCTGTTCGGCACATTCCCCTTCGGGCATCTCTCTTTGCAGTTTCTCTTCAGCTTTGTTATGACGCAGTGAGCTCCCTTGTTTTTCCAGCTGGCTGCCACTGCTGTTAATTTTCACTCCACCAGCACTAGGGATTATAATGAGTCTCTGGTGCATTGTGGATGGCTGGTTCTTTGTTGGACCCCTCTCATCAGTGTCCACCGGATTATGTCCCCTGTAGTGTGTCAGCTGGAGCAGTTTGTTGATGTAACCCCTTGGCCTGGGCTCTATGACCGGCCGAGTCCTAATCAAACTGGGTCCAATTGCATTAGACACTATTCTGTTAGGCAACGGATGGGCCTCTGTGTCTGGTGGTGGTCCCGCCAAAGAAAAAAGTGGACTTTGTAAAGCTACGGCATGAAGTGGGCTGGGATAAGGATACACATCATTCCCATTCTTAGAGACCAAGTCACTCTGATATTTAGGGTCCACGCAATAGAACTGGATTTCCCCTTCTGGACAAAACACAAGGGCCTTGGGGTCAGTTACTCTGGGGAATCCTGCATCTGATGTCGTCAGTCTTTCAAGGTCACCTGGATGGAAGAATTTTTTTATTATTTTAAAAAAGCATTAAATAACATACAAACATAAAGCTATAATCATTATCAGACCAAAACTCTTTTCCATTTTGCTCTAAACTTACTGGAAAATGCAGGGATTCTAAAATGTTCCTGCAGTGAGACTCACAGTGCTACATTTAATTTTATTTACTGGAACCCCTCCTTAGCCATATTTGTCATAGTAGATTAAAATATTACATTATTTTGGTTATAACAAAACTTCCAAACAGAAACTCATGCATCTCATATGTGGATTTGCTCAAGAAGATGTGTGGAGCAGACTAAATCTGCTACCCCATTATGGTATATATGAATAAGAATGTTCAGAAAACAACAAAGCAAGATTATTAATTTGCATCTTTAAAACAAACAAACAAACAGTAACCACAGAATGAACTTGCATGTCTGCAGGAGAAATTAAGGTGAGATAAACTGTCCAAGACATATTTAGCAGAATCTACGTGTGTCTTTTCTTGGCTGGTGAAGGCTTACTAGAAGAAAGGAAGGAATTTATTGGGAAAGATCATTAATGCCTCCTTAGTGAATGGCAATTTTCTGATAGTGGCAATTTTCTGATTAAGAAGTCCTTACTGACCAATTATAGGCCAGTTTCAAATCTGCCCTCTGTGAGGAAAGTAATCAAACAGGAGGAAGAAGTAATCAAAAGTAATCAAATAGGAGGAAGGAGAGCATTTCCTGAGCCTTCCGGATTACTCCTTTTTCCCTTGATCCTTTTCAAATTTGCCTTCAGGGCTGGCTATGGAACAGAGATAGCTTTGGTTGCTCTTGTGGCAGTCTCCACCTTCAAGTTGATAAGGAAAACACCTCGTTAAATCTACTGATTGGAATTTTATATAATGGAATTTTGTTAAGATATCAGGAGTATGGAATTGACATTAGAAGGTCAACACTATTAGACTCAACAAAGAAAGCAGTTATTGCCAGTTCTGAATTTGCATCTTCATAGTTCTTGTGTAGAGTCCCATAGGTTTAACTTGTCGCCTACGCTGTTTTACATCTGTGTTAAGCCAGTAGGATCATCCAAAGCTTTAGACTGGGCTGTCATCAATATGATGGTGAAACCCAGCTATACATCACTTTAAAAAAGCCCCCAGCTGCAGCTATATTGGTGTTTCCTTAGTGTTTAGAAGCTGTGGTCAACTGTCTGAAAAAGTACATGACCAAGATTAACCTTGACAAGTCAAGGAGCCAAGGTCTTGGAGGAAGTTGTGCATCACTTTAATACCAACAGACTCAGGCTGCACAAAATGTTTTTGTTTCCCAGCTGCATTTCACACAGTTTTTGCCCTCTTTTTATAAGCACAGCTCACATGGCAATATTAATCCACACTACAGCAACATCATGACTGGATTACGGCAATTAACTTTATGTGCAGCTGCCCTTGAAGACAAAGTGGCCGCTTCAATTGATGCAGAATGAGGCAGCATGTCTGGTAATAGTGGCTAAGCGCTTTACCCCATTGTCACAAGCTTGCAGTCTTTATGCTGGGTACTAATCTGCATTTGATTTGGCATCCTGGGACTATCCTCTGAACCCCTTCATGGCCTGGGACCATCACATCTGAGGGAGTACCTCCACTGATATGAGCCCATGTGGTTGCTTCAATCATCACCCCATTTTCTGAGTTGAGGAAGGTGGCCACAAGGGATAGGTGGCTGCTGTCACAGATGCATTTTGGCACCAGACCAAGAATTTTTATTTCAGTTCAACTTTAATGGAATGACATATCCTTTATGTTGCTGTCTATTAGCTAATTACTGTTGCTGCTGCTGCTGTTTCAAAATCTAATCTGTTATATTTTATTATGTCTGATGGTTTATACTTTATTGCTGATTACATTGTATATTGATTTGCTATTGACTTTTATTGTCATTAACCACTTAAGCAATTTAGTGCAGAAATTTTACCAAAAATTATGGACATGCAATTCAGGTTTTTAAAAAACATGTTATTGCTACTGATTTCTTAACCAGCATGCTGTGATAGCCACCAAGCAGAGCAATCTTTCCTTTTCTGCCAATTTCATCAGGATGTGAAAATAATTACCTGTGGAAACAGGTCTTGGCCTGGACCTGGTGGGAGTTCCTGAAATATCTGGGCAAGCTTTGATTTGACATCCATCACTAGAATAGATTCCTTGCTTCTGGAACTGTTTGTGCACTGTGGGTTCGTCTGCAGATTTGGGACGGTAATCAAACACACTGAGACAGGTTTTGGGGTGCTGAGAACTGGGCAGCAGACTGGCATGGGAAGAGGAGATGGATTCACTGAAGACAGATGTACAGGAGTTGGATAAAGAGCACGAACCACCATCACTCAATTCATAGAAGCCTGCAGTTTTAAAAGAAAACCAGAGAAACCCCCCCAACGGGTTCCATTTCATACAAGGGATAGTGTTTTGGACATTTTGATACAGTTTTAGTAGTCACAACCAATGTTCCCTCTAAGCTGTGGAGTCTTGTGAGCAAAAATTCTACTTTGTGAGCTACTGGTATTAAAGTTTTGAGCGAGCGAGCGATTTGGCTACTGCATAAATTAGTTGGCTCTGGAGCCATCCTTCCTGAGCTAAGACAGAAATCTGTGAGCTGGAGGCTAAAAAACTGTGAGGTAGCTCACACTAACTCAGCTTAGAGGGAACACTAGTCACAACCCACGTACAACACCCAACAAATGAATCTGCCCAGTTTACCTGAGCTGGGTCTGCTGTCACTGTCAAGGCAGTCAATAGAGGTCTTGCCAACATCCAACTTCAGTTCACTAATTTGTTGGTCCAGCTGATCTAGGTGGCTTTTCAGTCCAACATCTTGTCTTCTCAGACGTGACTGTTAGCAATGGGAGAGGGGAGAAAGAGACAGTTTAGATTTAAAGAAAGATTTAAAGAAAGTTTTGTTCTTTTGAAACAAAATTAATCTTTGAAGAAATAGCATATTCCTGAGGATGGTTCAGTGCCCAGGACAATCTAGAGGCACTGGATGTAAGCAATTCAAAGGAAATAATAACTGTAGATAGAAAATGTTGTGAGACCACTCAGCAAGTAGACCAGAAACCAAGTTATCACCTACGTATACCAATGCTCTATTTTCTATTGTTTCTTAATTCATCCCCTTTTTCTTTGTTTTTCTCTTGGTTGTTAAACATTCATACCATCCAATAATGCAAAATATGCAATGCAACACTGCCACACTCAGCAACAAAAAGTAATTCTGTGGCACTTAAAAGCACAACACTCCCAAGTTTTACTGAGTGTAAAAACTCTGAGTATGTTGGCATCACAATGTGATCTTAGAAGTTACCAGGGAAAGGGGCACATTCACATTAGCATCTAGTTCCAACCAATGTTTAACCTGCATGAACTACAAGACAAGACAGACACACAAAAAACCTCAAGGGATCTGTGGGAGCAGTCTCTGCAGTAATTTAAAGAGCAGTGACTGAAAGGGGGAATTGGCACTAATTTTTGGATCTCAGGCTGAAAGTTAAGCTTCAAAGAAAGAAAGCACAGTGTTGATGAAAATATTCCGTCATCTGCATCAGTAAACATTCTGTTAATTCTGTACTGAGGATTAAGTTCTCTCATCCTCACTGGAACACCTTGGATTCATTTCAGTTTCTCTGAAATGTTCACTTTCCTAAAGAGAAATCATTCACCGACATCAAAAGATCTGGAGAAGGTCAATAAAGCTGCTGGACCTAAATGGCCTTTTCATCTTAATTACTGTGGTTTAACACATTTCTGGATCAAAGACTAAACTATTTGTAAAGTTACTGTTCCTTTATTTGCTCTCTTTAAAAAAGGAACACTAAGATTGTTTAAAAGCAGAATTTAAGGCAAGGTTTTCCTTCCCAGATTTCACTGGGGGAAAAAAGGGGGGGGATTCTTCTTTCACATTTCAGAAGGTCAAATAATCAAAAGGGCTAAATTTTTATGAACATGACACCACTTCAAAAGAGGCTGCTGATGACTCACTTGGGGAGAGATTGGACTCTGAATCAGCATGCTATATATGTGTGCATCACTAGCCAATAAAAATGCATTTTCACCATTATCATTCACTGTTCTTGAGAATAGACAGTCAACATGGTGTATTCATGCCATAACTGGGAATATCTAGGTTGAACTCCATGAAGTTCACTAGTCAGTTTAGGGCCATTCACTCTCAGACAGACTGACTTGACAGGACTATTCCAAGAACCAGGTTCTCCATCCTGAGCTCCTTGAAAGAAAGACAGATAAAACTGAAATGGAAGAAACATCATTATAGACAGAGTGAGCGATGCCTTGGATCAAAGCCCTCGTTTTCATTTGTGTGCTGTTTATCCATTGTGGATGCCGGCCTCTGCTGTGCTTTCCTTAAGCACTACATACTTTTTGATTCATTAGAAGATGTTGATTTTGCATGAGCAGAAGCTGCAGGGATGTGCTCCGCAACAGAGGACCACCTCTTCACTGTTCCCCAAGGGGAAGCAAGGCTTCGGAGCCAAGCCTATGTGTTTATCAGCAAATTATGAAAAATTTGCTAACCTGCAAATCTGTGGTAGACCCTGGGTTGTTGCAGGGAAGATGCTTAACCCTTCCTACATCCACTGCTTTTCCTAAACACTAGCTCTGCCAGCTGTTTTTCAACACCTGGCCAGAGAACACAAAACTCAAGCTAGGTGATTAAAGGCTTGATAGTTAGTGGTCATATACACCGTCAGAAACTTATTCCTTGCTCAGATTCATAAATGTCTGAGAATCCAATCAAAGGGCCAAAGAATCCCTGACTAAGAAAACTGGGTTGGTCATCTTCATCATTCTGCCAGGTAGTAAGGAAGATTTTAGCAGATCTACAGCAAAACCCATGGAAGAATGCAAGCTAAATTGCCATCAGTAAGAACCATCTGTTACTAATATCAATGTTATGCCCCAAACCTCTGATCATTTATATGACAGTGCTTTACAAGAGATAGTCTCCCAAAGTTTCCTTCCTGTGGGGTATTATGCATGTTATTGGGCCTGTTGTAATCAGTTTGCCTTAGCCCAACATCATTTATTGCATTTCAAAACCAGCATCATTATTTTTAATATTTAAAGCTAGAAAGATATGGATTTAAAACTTCTGCATTACCTTTCAGGATTTCCTATGTTGTTTTTGAATGGTGGAAGGGGGGGGGAGTGCTTTATATTTCCTTTAGTCCCACCCTTCAGGAAGTCCCAGAGTTTTGTTTTCACGGCTGGAATTAATTGCTTAATGATTAATGTTTTGCCAGCCAATCCCTCCCTTTGTGGTTTCTGATTAATGGCAAAGAGGCCACAAAGTGTTCAACAAGGCTCCCAGGTATTCAAAGATAATTTATTGCACCTCTAGGATGTCTGTGATTTTTACAGTATTTTAACCTATATAGCATGATTTACACCAGCCTTGTTAACCCTTTCCCTTTCCCCATTGTCTCCCACCATGGGGACGGAGGTGGTTTCTCGACGGAAACACCACACTTCTCATTAACTTCTGAAGACCAAATGTGGCTTATATTCATTTCTCCGAGTCTTGGATGTTCTCAAAGATAACCCTTAAATCAGAATAATAAACAGGAGTATTGTGGCATTTTAAAGACTAACACATTCTTAAAGGTAAAGGTAAAGGTTCCCTTGCTCGAAAGCCAGTCGAATCCGACTCTAGGGTTGCAGTGCTCATCTCCGTTTCAAAGCCGAAGAGCCCGCGCTGTCCGAAGACGTTTCCGTGGTCATGTGGCCAGCATGACTAAACACCAAGGTGCACGGAACGCTGTTACCTTCCCACTGAAGTGGTACCTATTTATCTACTTGCAATTTCTTGTTTTCGAACTGCTAGGTTGCAGCTCCAACACATTCTTATTCCAGCATAAATTTTCGCAGACTAGGATCCACTTCAGAAGCTCTGAAAAGCAAACCAATCTGAATTTTATCAGAGAACATTGTGGGCATTACCTTACCATTAAGCAATTCAGATGCCAAATCTGTGAGATGCTATACAATGAGGATGCAGTTTTGCAGGTCAGCTGAAGACCCATGTCAGAAGCATCCAGCAGAAAGAATCCAGCAATATGAGAGACATCATAAATCCACATGCTTTTTCTTTCGGTGGTTAAGTAGGATTTTGAGAAAATCTGAAGTCTTTTTATACCCTCAAAGGCTGTACATCCTGAAATGGTCACCTCAACTTTGATTTTTGTAAAGAGCTGTTTAAAAACTGTAGAACGTTCTGCAACAGCACGTACTTTTGGAATGAAGCGCCACCTCTACTAACAGAATGACATTACCTTGGTACTGCAGGCAAATGCATCAGTGCAGATCAAGGTGCAAAAGCCATAGCTACAGCTAGGAAACCATTTTAAAATCTCTTACTGACAGAAGATTTGCCCCTGACTTTTCTAGATTTTAAATTTTGTAATT